AAACTATTCGTGTCTTTTGTGTATTAATTATGCTTTAGGCACATTCTGCACCAAGCAGCAGCAGTTACAGTGTTTAATGAGCCGCTAAACTCCACATCTGGCAAACATGTTCATACTTTTCTGCCCTCGTTTTCACTGATGCTCTCTTGCTGGAGTGTTGTGTCTCTTGTGGTTGTTGTAGAGTCTCTTGTTGGTTGCTTTCTGGTCTCTGTGGTGGTCCTTGTCTGTCTCTTGTTGTTGTGTTCCTCTTTTGTGGTTGTGTTGTGTCCTTTGGGTTGTTTTGTGTCTCTTTGTGGTTGCTTTTGTGTCTTTGGGTTGTTTTGTGTCTTCTTTGTGTTGATTTGTGCTGTCCTTTGTGGTTTGTTTGTGTCTTTTGTTTTTGTGCTCTTCTTTGTTGGTTGTTTTGTGTCTCTTGTGGTTGCTTTGTGTCTCTTTGTGTTTGTTTTGTGTCTCTTTGCTGCGCTCGTCTTCATGTGTCATTGTGCGTTGTTATTGTTCCTCTCTTGCTTTGTTTTGTGTCTCTTGCTTGTTGTTTCTTTGTTGTTGTCTCATCTTTCGGTTGCTTTCATGTGCTCTGTTTTGTGGCTGTCGGCTTGTTTTGTGTCTCTTTGTGGTTTGTTTTGTGTCTTTTGGTGGTTGTTTTGTGTCTCTTTGTGTTTGTTTTGTGTCTTCTTTGTGGTTGTTTTGTGTCTCTTTGTGGTTGTTTTGTGTCTCTTTGTTGTTGTTTTGTGTCTCTTTGTGGTTGTTTTGTGTCTTTGTGGTTGTTTTGTGTCTCTTTGTGGTTGTTTTGTGTCTTTGTGGTTGTTTTGTGTCTCTTTGTGGTCAGAAGATGATGTCAGTCCCGTGTCTTGCGGTTTTACAGTTTATGTGGATTATCTTCAAGCCAAAATCAAATCCTCAGACTCCCAGTTCAGAGCTCGGGGCCTTGAAAAGTCTGGCAGCTACATTTGCTCATGTTTGTAAAGAAGGGCGTTTGTGGTACGTGAGGTTTTACCTTTGTAGGTGAACAATCACAGCGACCTACTGCACCTGGCAGGAGAGCAGACTGAGTCACGTCTTCCTGTGCCAGTAAACTCGAGCGCTCTGTGTCACCACACTCAGTTTGAAGAGTCGCACCATGGGGGTGAAGCTGTTTGTTGGTGTTGTCGGGCTGTTGGCCTTAATGGTTACAGGTGAGTGCTGTTCAATATTCACAGTGTGTCTGCAAGTGATTTATAACTTATGGTACTTTGACCCGATCAAACCCAGGGGTCAACCTGCGCATCACTACTGTCAACATTTTGATTTTAAGTTTTAAGTTTTATTACGTCGATAGAAAACATTCAGTCACAGTTAAGTTTCCTACACAACATATATAGTTTAGTTGTATAGAAACATTAGTGGATGAGATGTGACATGTTCGTAGTGATGATACCAATGAATAGATTTTACAATCACTACTACAAACAGGCAGCTTCCAGTTTCCATGAAGTAAATAACAACATGCTTTATGAATTGTGTCTCCCACAGGAAACAACGCACAGTTAAATGGTGAGTTTTGTTTTTACACTTACGTTTATTCATTTCTTTCTTTCACGCAGCAGATTCACCTGTTGTTAAAGCTTTTAAACAGGGTCCAAAACACGGTTGATATTTGAACTCAACAGCCAATCGTGGTTCCATCATCCGCCATTTCCACTACCTGGGGAAAGCTTCCAATGGCTGCCGGGGAAAACAAATACACTATTCTCTTTCTGTTTCGGTTGTGCAGTGGTGACGAACTTCCCTTGTGGCCAGAATTACACATCGAAAGCAAAGCTTACAGGGAGCCAATTAAAAGCCAATGGTGTCGTTATTCTGCAGCCATGTCCGTTTGTGAACAGCTCGTTCACAGCAAGAAAAAAAAATGTATCTCACATAATGTCACATGAATAAATCTTTGTGATGATCTACCAGATCTACAGTTCATCCTCTGGGGACCATGAATGTCTGCATGAGATTTCATGGGAATTAATTCAGTACACGTTGAGATATTTTGCTGATTAGATGAAAACCTGTCCTGCTGGTGGAAGCTAGACGAATATTCAGAGGATGAACTTTGACTGTTTCCCTTCCAGTTTGTGGCACCGCACCGCTCAACACAAAGATCGTAGGGGGTCAGAGTGCCCCCGCAGGGACGTGGCCCTGGCAGGCCAGTCTGCACTGGAAGGGCAGGAACATCTGTGGAGGTTCCCTCATCAACAACCAGTGGGTCCTGACGGCTGCTCACTGTGTCTCCGGGTGAGACCTCAGCTCTGATGAACCATGTAGAGTTATTGACAGAGGGTCTTATACTGTGGTATACTGTGTAGTGAACACTGGGATGTCAGTACATATTGTGGTTCCATCACTCACATATTTTCATGTTGTGTTTCTCAGCGCCAACACTTCTGATTTGATGATTTACCTCGGACGTGAAACCCAAGAAGGTCCGAATCCTAACGAGCAGTCCCGGTCAGTGTCCCGGGTCATCAGTCATCCACACTACGATGACTTGACAAGTGATAACGACATCGCCTTGTTGAGACTGTCCTCAACGGTTGACTTCACCAGCTTCATCAGACCCGTGTGTCTGGCGGCGGCCGGCAGCGTCTTCAAGGCCGGGACGACCTGCTGGGTCACCGGCTGGGGAGCCATCAGTATCATTAGTAAGTAACAATAATGTAAAGCATGATGTCATCATTTAGCCCTAGATGACCTGAGTTAAACGATGTAGGATATCCCAAACACAAATTCAATATACGTAGCTACATGTACTGAATTTCCATATGTGAAATATTTTTATTTTACATGTACATATATGTAAAAATGATCATATATGAAACCTATTAGAAGTTTGAACAACTCTATATATTGAAATATATTCAGTATCTTGCTTATACGATTATACACATGTATGTATATATGCTTATATTGTAGACAGATTTACATAAATATATATCCATCACGAAGCCTGATGATATTAGATAAAGTCTGAGAATGTGAAGTTAGACAAGTTTAAAATTAATTTAATTAATAAGAAAAACATATATAAACATAGAGATTTTTGTATGTTGTTTTGATACACTTCATAAATAAATCAAATATCAAATGTTAACACATAATTCTTCAATAGAACACGTGTTTTATGTTAAAATTTATCACATAGATATTTTAATATATGTACATACAAAAATTCTACTATGGGACTATTCGAAACACTTGGTCATTTGTTTATTTTATTTGTACAACATAAATGTTGGGAATTGGTGGGTTATCGATTATTATCAGAAATCCACAAAATATTAATATTAAATAGTGATTTTAATTAAAATCAGAGTAATCCTCAGGGCACCACCCTGATCAGGAAACAGCCAATACTGATACAGGCTTGACATAAACTATCAATGTGGATAATTAACTTAATAACTAGAACCAAAAGGATCATATTAATAATCAGTGAAGTTGAAGCGTTCAGAGTTCTGCAGAGAGGTTGGCGACATTGTGGACTGATATCTAACTTCTAATCAGATCAGGGTGTGATGCAAACAAACATATCTCACAAAATGTGAGAGGTAGAACTTTCTATTTCAGGTTTAAAGGAGTTCAGGTCTCAAACCTTCAGTTCAGTAAATACTAACATCTCTTCTCTCTGTCAGAGCCTCTTCCTGCTAACGAGCCGCTGCAGGAGGTCGATGTTCCCGTCGTGTCCAACAGTCAGTGCAGGAAGGCCTATGAAAGACACAACGTCAAGATCACAAGCAACATGATCTGTGCCGGTCTACCTGAGGGAGGGAAGGACTCCTGCAAGGTGAGTCAGTCTGCAAACACTCCTCCAGCAATTGATAACACACACACACACACACACACACACACACACACACACACACACACACACACACACACACACACCTGTGATTACAGCTGTGTTTATCTTGTTCACATTCACCGTGTACAGTCTTACACTCTGTCACCTTCAGTATCACCTGATACATCACAAGAGGTTGAATCATAGATGTTTTTATTGCATATTTTATTTTTATTCTATTTCTTTCAGTCTAATCTTGCTCTTAACTATATTTTAACTGTATTTTATATTTTAAAAATATTCCATATACATAAATATATATTCTAAAAAAGATTTATTTGAATTTTGAATGTAATTTGTTGAACACTGCAGAAACCACGTTCTTTCAAATCCTGCATCAGTAATAATCTAATAATATAATGTGTTTTTTAACCTGTGATATTACTAGTACGTCTTCCTCTACTGAATGTCATGGTTTCCAGTGTATTGACACATTTCCTGGTGATAGTAACCGTGATGTTTCACCTGTGCAGGGCGACTCAGGCGGCCCCATGGTGAGTAAAGACGGATCCAGGTGGGTCCAGGCCGGAGTGGTGAGTTTTGGAATCGGCTGTGCTGAACCCAGTTTCCCAGGAGTCTACGCCCGTGTGTCAGAGTATCAGACCTGGATCAACAGCCAGATCTCCACCAACCAGCCGGGCTTCGTCACCTTCAACAGCTCCTCCTCCTCCTCCTCCTCCTCCTCCTCCTCCGCCTCCAGCCGCAGCTCCGCCACCAGAGCCGCCCACTTCATCTCCCTCTCAGTTCCTCTGCTGCTGCTCTCCTCTCTCTTTGTTCTCTCATTTTCAGTGTATTAAATTTCACCTTCTACATTGTTAAAATGTTTGATTATTCATATGAGAAAATAATGAATGAGCTTTTCCTTTCCAGAAATCATGAATCCTGAATTTTCAAGCGTTTGTATCCACACGTGAAAGATTTCCCTCAAATATAAAATGATCTGTTGCACCAACAGTTAGTCAGGTCCAACGCTCCAGTTTAGAGTCAAATCACTGTAAAAACAAGGTTTATGGCTTCATATATTCTTCGAGATTCATTTGTCTTAAAACAAGCAAAAAAAAAATGAATACATAAAATTTTATAAAATTGAGTGAAATATTTCCACTTTCCTGTGTTTGAGTAATTTTACATTAAGGAGTAAATGAGACACAAAGTAGATCAGGAGCCATGACTTGGTTTGAGTACAGAAGCCTAAATCATTCACTTAAATAAATCCAGTGTTTCTGAATTAACGAGATAATTACATCATTAATTCAGAAAAACTGAGCAGATTTTCTTTTCCTCCAGTGAATGCATTACGCTGCCGTATCTTAGTGCAACAATTCAATAATATTTTTTATTATCAATTCATCTGCTACTTATTTCCTTTAAATGAACTGATTAATTGTTGTGTCTTTTAAAATAATCATGGAAATTAATGCCAATAAAAATATCTTCAAAAATAACATTTATTATTTATGCCTCATTCATACAGTTTTACATACAAACAGAATTAAAACATCCGACAGTTGCAGGTTGTGGTTGGTCGTGCAGCACCTTTTTAAAAAAAAATGAATCTTGGCTCTTAAAAGATTCACCTGGAATGTTACTCTGCTCCTTAGTCCCTGAAATTAAATGTCAGCTTCATCCAGACCAGAAATCACAAAAATGAGAGTTCATCAGTCTGTTGATTGATCAGTCTGTTGGTTGATCAGTCTGTTGGTTGATCAGTCTGTTGATTGATCAGTCTGTTGATCAGTCGTTCTCCTCAAACATCAGGTCCAGTCTGTTTCTCTCCCCGTCAGCCTGAAGACAAACTGATGAGAGTCGCTCAGCCGAGGAAGGTGGAGATAAAGACGCTGGTGTCCAGGTTGAGCGTGGCGTGCCACCAGCGGTCGGGGAAATACAGCACCTGATGGAAAAACATCCAGACCGTTAGAGAACAACAGAATGACTTCATGTAGAGGAGGATGCATCTGTCTGACCGTTCACTCTGCCGCTAACACAGACTGAGCCGCCCTGAGTCCGTTACCTCCCCAGGTCTGATGGTGCACTCCAGCGGGGCCTCGTCCTCCGGCAGGTGGGGGTAGGTTTCTGTCACCCAGGACAGGGTGGTGCGGTTCGGGTGGAAATGGGGCTCCTTCTCAGGCGGGTAGAGGAACCAACGCTGTGAGAGGAAGAATGAATTATTCACAGTTTATATTTACGCTCACCGTGCACTTTATTAGGAACACCTCAGGTTTCCTGCAGGACCAGGTGAGGAGGTGAGCTCATGTTCACGTCAAACATCCTCTGGGATGTGGTAGAGCAGCGTGAATGAAATGATGCGATGCATCACGTCAACATGGAGCAGAGTCTCAGAGGTTCAACACCTGGTGGAACTACCCAGTGTTAGTGTGGTGTTACTAAGTGAGTGTATCTCCATTCATCAGTCAGACAACAAATCAAACACAACACACCACTCAACAAACTCTTCCTCAGGACAGGATTAAATGAATCGACACAACAGGCGGGAAACTGAACAAAAGGTTGTGTTTTGTTTTTGTTTTTTTTTACCTTTCTTCCGTAGATGACCTCAGAGTAACCTGGACCGTGCCAGTGAAAGGGAACTCCTGTTCCAGGACCTGGAGACAGAAACAGTAGATGTGGAGTCACTGTCAGTTTGTGTCAGTTTTTGATGGTTTTACTTCAGTACCAGAAAACAAAACAGTCTTTTATCCTGCTGCTAACAAACAAAGCTCCATATTTTCTTCTTCTTCTGTGTTTTATTTGAAGTGTTGATCCATAAGATTTATGTTTTTTTGGTTTTATATATTATATTTGGTTGGATATATATTTATATATATTTATGCCACATAGAGTATGTCTATATATTAGCATACATACATATTTGTACGGGCTAAACATATATGTCACTAGTGAAATTATTCTAATGTATTACGTCTCATATATAATTTTTTACATGTGTTTGTTTTATATGTACATATATTTCATATATGGAAATTCAACATATGTATATATATTACATTTGTGTATGGAAATAAAATAAAGTGAAGGTCTGTATACATTTGTGATTATAAACGTGATATATCGTCTGCTGAGATGAAAGCAGTTTGTCTCATGTTGTTGCTTGTTGCTCCTCTCTCCTGAACAGACGCTGACCTGCGATGCCGAAGCTGTACGCTCCGCTGGTGAGAGGCAGGACGTACGGCGGGGACTCGTAGTGCTGAAACAGACTCTGCCACTCGGTGAAGTTGTTGTCTCCAAAGAAATACAGTGTGTCTGTAGAAGAGGGAAACAGAGACGCAACTGGAGGTTAAAGAAAGTATCTTCTGTAGGTTAGCAATCAGGTTGCAAGCAGGAGTAAACATAAAATGGTGGAGGAATCCCATGAAAAAGTCACCATGAATTAATTTTTTGTAGTAAGGAGAGCAGCTGATGAGGAAACAGATGCATCTTCTGGGTTTAAAATGATGGCGTGATTAAATATATGCTATTGTGGATTAAATTGTAAGTATCTAACTTATATTTAACTTAACCCAAGTCCACCTATTCTGATGTTTATGTGTGAGTTATTATAACAAGGGATCATTTCTTAAAGTTTTACTCTTTGATCTCTTACTCTTAGTTTTATTTAAATGTAAATGCATCCATTCATACATGTTTCTGCCATGCTATATTATGACATTTTTATGACATTTTATGTCTTACTATACTTTGACTTTTTATGCCTTACTATACCATGACATTTTTTTTTACTTTTTCTGCTTCACTATACTATGACATTTTATGTCTTATTATACTATGACATTTTTATGATGTTTTATGCCTTATTATACTATGATCTTTTATGCAATACTATACCATGACGTTGTATGCCTTGCTATACTATGACTTATTATGCCTTACTATAGTATAACATTTTAATGAAATTTTATGCCTTACCATACTATGACTTTTTATTCCTGACTAAACTATGACGATTCAATGATTTAGAATACTATGACTTTTTTTTGCCTCACTTGTAGCTCCACCCAGGCCTAGCCTGGTTACTCCATGAGATCCACCTGGCCAGGGAAGAAAAGGATAAAACTCTGGTGCCAGCTTCAGAAGGGCAGAGACGTTCAGCATGGGGACTGCTGGTTTTCCTACCTCTAAGCCTGGGATTTTTGTTGTGTTCTCTTGTGTTTTTTCTGTGTTTTGTTGTCTTCATTGAGTGTCCTGGTCATTGTGCATATTTATGTTAAATAAAACCTTCATTATTTTAGAGGTGTCTTGTGAGTTTTATTTGGGTCACTGGTGGAGTTTTGTGTAACCCTTAGGGCCACTCAAAGGTGGGGCATAACAGTGACTTACTACACTATGACGTTTTAATGCCTTACTATACTATAACGATTTATGCCTTATTATACTATGAAGTTTTATGCCTTACTATACTGACTTTTTATGCCTGAATATATACTGACATTTTTTTTGAAAATTTTAAGCCTTACTATACTATGACATTTTTATGATATTTTATGTCTTACTATACAATGACATTTTTTTTTACTTTTTCTGCCTCACTATACTATGACATTTTATGCCTTACTATACTATGACATTTTTATGACTTTTTATGCCTTGCTATACTATGACTTTTTCTGCCTTACTATACTATGACATTTTTATGACATTTTTATTCCTTACTATAATTTGACATTTTTGTGAGTTTTTATGCCTTACTATACTAAGACATTTTTTTTTACTTTTGATGTCTTACTGTACTATGACATTTTCTTGCCTTAATATACTGACATATTATTTTACTTTTTATGTCTTACTATACTATGACATTTTTATGAGTTTTTATGCCTAACTATAATGACTTTTCATTCCTTATTATACTATGACTTTTTATTCCTTACTATACTATGACTTTTTCTGCCATACTATAATATGACTTTTTATGCCTTACTATACTAAGACATTTTTTTGACTTTTTATGTCTTACTCTACTATGAAATTTATTCCTAACTATAATATGACATTTTTTTTGCCTTACTATAATATGACATTTTATGAATTTTTCTGCCTTACTATACTATGACTTTTTCTGCCATACAATACTATGACTTTTTTATGACATTTTATGTCTTACTGCACTATGACGTCTTCTTGCATTACTATACTATGACATTTTTATGACTTTTTATGCCTTGCTATACTATGACTTTTTCTTCCATACTATAATTTGACTTTTTTTGCCTTATTTTACTACGTCATTT